GATTGATTGAGTTACACTCAACTTCTTATCGAGACTTGGTAACAACGTAAGAGACATATCAAACAACCTGTATCATTTGATTCATGGAATAGAATGTATGTTTGTATTTCTAATTCTTTTCTAAATGAATCATAGTTTCTGAAAGACAATGTTGTACTTTCTTTGTTTATACATTCATATAAACATGTATATATCTATTATTATATCATATAAGCACGAATCTTGCATTGTATTGTGATAAATCTACCCAACTATAACACTGCACTTCCAATTTTTTTCTTATTAGAAAATTATACTTAGAAAATTCTACTCAATATTACTCAATATAACAATGAAACATGTTTTGCAAGTGAATGTCGTAATCGGGCAAATTTTTCGAAGCACAAAGCTCTAATATGAATATATGAAAATATGATGTTATTATAAACAAATAGATAAACTTATGAAAATATATTTTTATTTCTTGCATTTAACTCTAGAATAGTAATGAAACCTCAACGACCCACTCAACATAAGAAAGAAATAAATGTATAAAAAATGAATACAACGAAAACATCTATCAGAATTTGTTACATTTAAACTACAAACTTAGTTTTCTGTAGTTTATTATAGAGCAAATCCATCACATTTCATTATATTCAGGAATCTTCTAAAACTTCATAATCATAAAAAAAACAAAAAACAAAAATAATGCAAATCCATAACAATGTTTTGTCGGTTGATACTCAAAATTAATTAAACAGGTGCAAAGTATTTAAATAAGTCGCTTAACTCAAGGAATTTTTTTAAAATCTAAATATGCTTTATTTACGTGTGAGTGAAGATGGGTGGGAGTTTGTATTTATAAACTGGTATTTGAATATGATCGTCGCTTATTACGAATTTCAAACCAATTTGGTTTCTTAATTTCATAGCATACCCCTCATTCTCTTATGTTCTTTTTGCAATATAAATCAATAACTAATTGTAATCACAATTATTTTTTATTTTACTTTTTGGATGTTACCAAAGGTGATGATTAATAGTAGAGGTTGCATAAGTTGGTTTTGGATGCGTGTTAGGTTTGGAAGGGTTGTTTCATGGAGGCTTTGTTTTCAGGGGAATATTGATAAGGTTGGAGAGACATATGATTGGTGTCGAATATGATACATTTTTACTGTGACAATAGTCAATTTCGGATCAAGTCAAAGTCAACAAGTCAAACCGGACGACTCAATTAGCCCTTGCATATTAGGGTTTACGTTGTGTATTTACTAAACAATCCGCTATTTTTAATGAGAAAACATCATTGGAAAATTCGTATGTTTGAATTTCCATAGCCGTGAAAATGCTAAACATTGAACCAAAACGATAAAACACTATTGCACACTTATTGGGAGTGTGTAGGACCTTAAAACATGGCTTAACGGGGTTTACGGACCTCGCATTGCAAAGCCGGACACTCAAAAGGGTCACAAACGAAACCTCTCTCAATCGTTTTCACTATACCTCTTTCTATTTGAAATCTCTCCCAAATCTCTCCCAATCTCTCTCAAAAGTTCCCATGACTTTTTGAAGTCATTCGGGTCATTACGACCCTTAACCGTGTCAAAAATCGCTTAAAACGAGGTTAGAACGGGTAAAATACCCCAAAGGACCCGGAACCCCCCCTTAGGGCCGAAGCCTCTTAGAGGCCGGACCCTCTCGGGTTGGAACCGCAGCGTGCGAGTCGCAGCCCCGACCGCAGCCAGCGAGCCGCAGCCACGCCGGCGTTAGGATCCTCGGACCGCAGCTCCTCCCCCCAGATCCGCACCCGCTGTTCGGTTTTTAGGCTGCTGATGATCGAGACTTCGCCCTGAACTTTGGATTTCAGCACTTTCTACCCGGTTTTCAACATTTTTAATATTTTAAGCCCGTTTTTAATTATTTTAACGTGGGACTTTCTCCAGAACTCATATTTTAACATATGAGACCATAAATATTCATAATTGATATATATTTTTATGGAAATATTTATTTAAGATCAAAATCTATTAAGTGAGATCTTGAGGTGGAGTGTGGATCTTTCCATAATAATTGGCACAAACAACCACCTCATGCCCATTCCTTTGACCAACTATTGTACTCCCCACTATTCCTAGTCACCTCAAGGCCATATCCCACTCATTTCCCAGCAAACTCACGTCCAAATGAGCTGGAAAACTCTCTTTCACTCTTAACATCACTCATTTTCCTCATTTCCACCAAGTATCAAACATCACTTTTCTCTCAAATCCTCTCAATCATATTTCGAGTTTCAAGGGTTGATCATCAAACTTTCTCTCATTTTTGATAATTTCATCACTCTCCTTATGATTATTACATTCCCTCTTACTCAAAATCATAGATTGCTTACACAAACATCATCACATTCATGTTAGATCTTCGAAAATTCAAGTGATCCTTCAAGTGTTCTTTAATTGAACACTTCTCATCTTCAACATTCACCCACTGAAATCACTCAAGGTGAGTTCATACCCCTACAATTTCGTATTTTCTTAAGTTTTAAGGGGGGAAATACAAGTTAAAATCACTAAGAACACAACTAAATATTTCTAACAGCTTTCATCAGAAAAGTTGGGCTCCATTCACGGGTTGTTTTGGTCGACTTAAACATTTTTGTTTTCAAAACTGTATTATATGAAAATAGTTCAGGGTTATACCTTTAAAATGACTATTTGCACATCTCCATAAGATTTTTCTACAATTTATGGTGATTTTTACAAAAACTGCCTATCATATCAAGAGCCAATCCAGACCAGTTTGTGTTTATGGATGTTTTCACTTAAGTTGGAGGTCACTAAAAATCATGGAAAAATTTATGAACAAACTAGACTCATTTTACAAACTCCCAGAATTTAAGGATTATCATTTGGACCTATTATGAAGTTTTTATAAATTTTCTAATGACAGTGATCGAAGTTGTTACAAATAGAAAAATGCTAACAATTTAGTATCACTTTGTAACATGTTGAGCAAGGTGTATATCTTTATGTGCATGTATGTTATTGCAAATGAATGACATTTTATCTTAATATGTGTGTATATATATATATATATATATATATATATATATATATATATATATATATATATATATGCATGAGTAAATTTATGGATTTTGATACATATACAAAGGATAACAAATTGTTATAATCAAAGTACATTCATTTTACTCAAACAATTGAATGAACCACGTTGAATATAGTTTACGTACATTACATTTACCACCCTTGTTTTGATAAACTATAATAGGTACAGTTTATGATACATTGCATAAAACACTCATACAAAAATGGTACATATATACAATAAGGGATTTTCATTTCATTATACGTAAATATGTTAAATACTTTGTGAGACATTCGCTTCACATTACCAATAAGTCCTGTATTGTAACCAGAGTCTCTTAGAAGGAGAGCGTGATAGTTGTGTATAGATCTATATTGGGATTGACAAACCCACACCTGAGCTGCATGCAACAGCTAGACCGGCAGGTCTGAGGTGACAAATGTCATAACATTTCCGACGCCTGAAGAACGTCGTTTCAGGTCCACTAGGTCATAGCATGGTTATAATAAACTCACAGAAAGTATTAACAAACATAAGAATTTACGGGAATTTCATTTAATTCAAACGCGTTTATGTCGATTTAAACACATATCATTTTCTAACAATAAGAGATGTTACTTATACATTTTGGTCTTCGGTTATAAGACTACATTACACATTTTAAGGAAAATATCGGATTTTCTGAAACAATCATGACATTTACAAGAGAAAGACTTTTACTAGGATTTAAAACAAAAGCTTATGAACTCACCAACCTTTGTGTTGACACTTTTTCAAACAACTTGTATTTTCAGGAAATCACTAAACAAGTATTAAAGTGCATTTTGAGGATGAGACGTTAAGGCGTCAACATTTCATGTTTTGTCAACATATTGTAATTGATTTGGAAACATGTAACTAATACAATGATGTAACTCTTTCAATTATATATATGTTAGTTATGTTTGCTTAAATTACTATTGCAATGGTGGTTATGATACTATACATGAAATCCTCCACCCCCAACGTTTCCACCATCCTTGGTTTGGGGGTGTAACATTTACGTACTTACTTCTCTTAGATCTACCAAGTCATTGAATAATGTCTTTTAGGGTGTTCGTAGATTCATTGAATAATGTCTGTGTTGGACGGCTTTGTTCATTATATATTTGCTACAAGTTATCTAATTTATCTTTGTTTCATCCATCCGATGTAATCTTATCTTTTTAATTTTCTCTATAAACATTTAAAAAAAATAAATGTATTATTTAAGAAGGATAATATCTAGTTACAATTATATATCCAATGGTTATCAACCGGTTTAAATTGGATTCATCGGATCGTATTGAATCAGTTAATTTCTAACACAACAATATTATTCTTTATCTATGCTAAAGGGAAAAAGTTACTTGACACCCTAAAAGCTTTTAACTTTTGTGATCCTCTTAGTCACCAAAAAATATTATCCTCTTCTAATAAAATGTTATTAAGTGATTAGTTTATATAAGTTTACATTAACTTTGGCACAACATATTGTACGTGGAAAAACATTGCTAAATAATGTAGAACAATACGCATATAGTTGCAATTATAAATATAAAATACTAGGTGTAAAACTCGTGTATTATACAGGTTGATTAAAAAAATAACATATTAAAATTTATATAATAAGTATTTTTTAAAAATAAAATTTTAAAATAAGAATTAAAGAAACATATTAATTACAATTTACTATAATATTTATTATATTTGACATTTTAAATATATAAATATAAGATTATGTGACTTTTTAATTTTAAAAATTGAAAAAAATCACAAATTAACATGTAAATAATATTTATTTAAAAAATATAACAAAATGATAAATTTTAAAAGGAAGATTAATATATGATAAAAAAAATAAGAAGCTCAGTAAATTATATTTATATACCATGAGGTAAGTATATATTACTATTTGAAGTAATTTACCAATTCAAGGACCAAACCTGCTAAAAAATAAAGGTGTGGGTCAAAGTGTAAATTTACTCAAAACACTACTATGTATACAGAAAGAGGTCAACAACCCTTCTCATTCAACCCTCTTCTCTCGATTTCCTCTTCAATACCAAACAAAACTCTGACAGAGATTTCTTGATCGACGATGACTCATATCCTTTCAAAGGGTTTTGATTGTGATTGTTCGTTTGTTATGTATTTTTTTTTAATTCGATTTCCTATTCGATCTTATCCAATCTAACGAAAATTCTAGGTATTTGTTTATCGATTTTAATCTTCAATTGATTTCGTGTCTATAAGCATGTGAATCTTGTATGCTTTCCTTAATGGGGGATCTAACGCGGCAACCAGAGGGAGAAAGATCGTGAAAGAGCCAATGCTCGTAATGGCGGCAAAGGGAAGACCAAAGACGATGGATTGACCCCTGAGCAACGCCGTGAAAGGTTCGATTTTTTGCCCTAGTTTTTTAGTGATTTCGATTTGGTTGCTAATTCTTGTTAAATATTGCAGCGATTTAGTTAATCATTGAGTTTTAAAGTTCAATTTAGCTTTTAATACAATAAATTTAGTATCCCTCTTCATGAGTCAACAATCAATTGTCTTGAATTGATCTGTCGTTTGTCATGAAAAATTAGACTATAACCTAAATACTCAAACTTTTTCTACTATTATCCGCATATAAAACAATGATTCTGCTATAGTTCAAGGCTATCTTTTTGCTTTTTCTTGATAGTTCCGTTGATCTTTTCATCTCAAACATCTTATGAGTTTGATACAGCTATCATCAATTCAATCTATTTTACTTTGTGTTTTATCAATTTTGTTTATAAAATTTTCAAGAACCTGTAATTAAACTTGTGAATATACAGGGATGCAAAAGCACTCCAAGAAAAGGCTGCAAAGAAGGCAGCACAGGCTGCAGGGAGTGGTGGTGATGCAGGAGGTAAAAACACCAAGAAATAACAGAGAGTATCATCTCTTTTTTCTTTTTTTATGAATGATTGTATCCATCTATATTTAACATTTTATATTAATTACATGACATTATGAAAAAGTTTATTCTGCAGATTTATTATTATCTGACATAAATATTCTTCTTTTGTCACATGTATTTTGTCTGTTTATAATTTGGCTCCTTTAATAAAGTTGTGTTTTGCTTTCCATGCTTTGTATGCTTTTGTGTTGCTTCTCTCACATGTTTCTGTTTTTGTCGTGCTAACTTATTTTCTACAAGTTAGTTTTTTTATATGTTTGTGTAAGCTAGTTTTTATCAATATAAGGAAGCTATTGGTAAACAAAGAATTATTTTCATACTTATTAACCTACTCAATGAAGGATAAAGTTACAAACGTAGTTAGACAAACTCATTTGTGTTCAAATTTAATTGAAGTATCAAAATAAGCAAGTCAAAATCAAAAAAGTTTGGTTGTTCGGTTTAGTTATCAATAATACCATCTAGGGTAAGTTCTAATAACAAAACATCAAATGTAATTAAAATAATATAAGCCAATGTCTTATAATTATTTACAATAAGTTTTATTATTATGAAAACAATATTTAGCGGTATTGTTGCTAAGGCCATGCGGTGCGTTGCGGGAAGCAAAAGCGAGAATGGATCCCGCACCTCGGAACACAACACCGACGGTGCGGGATAGGAGAGCTTCCAACTTAGGTACTAAAGGGGTTTGTCGTCGATAACTAAATGCTCTCATTCAAGCAATGTTTCGAGTTCAAGCAACCCAACTTGAAACATTTTTGTTATCGATTCATCTCAAGGGGTTTATCGTCTATAACTAGATGTTTACATTCAATTTCATCTACAATTTCAATACCAAAATATTAGACAATTCTACCCGATGTAAGTTCCAAATATTCCTCCAGATTTCTAATTTGTTATTTTTCCTGATCAACTATCGCCAAATCAACCGATAACCCAAACCCTACTCTACCAATCTCAAACCCAAACCGAAACACAGCCCTCTCACTCTAAACCACAATACCAAATGATCGATGGGTCGGAGGACGAGATTGTATGAGAAAGTCAACCTATACCATCCTCAATGTTGCAAAGAAAAACAATAGGCGCAAGAGGGAAGGTAGAGGTCGATATCATGGACAGGGGCGAAGTCAGTAGGGGGGCTAGTGGGTGTTGTGCCCCCTAACTCCATTGGTATTAGTATATTGCCAGTGAAAGCCCACCCTCAACTATATTCTCCGGCTCTTTCGGTATGCATTCCTTTGTAATTAATGTTTTTGGATGTTAATGTTTTGTTATACATCAAACTTATAACGATACAAGTAACATTGCAGTATGTATTATTACTTTCCTTACTGTAATCTTTTTTTTATGATATAAGACTATAAACTCATGTATGGGACATAAATTACCATATAGACATATATCTCATTCAAATGGTTTATATATATATATATATATATATATATATATATATATATATATATATATATATATATATATAATACTCGGTTAGTCTAAAATTCTAGCTTCACCAAGAAGAGTTAGTTTTGAAAAAAGCTTAGAGTGACATTTCAGAGGATTCAGCGATGGGAGATGCACAACCATCGGATCATTTTTGGCTTCGCATTCTTGAGAGATTTCACGTGGAGTTGGGAAAAGATGACGACTATCGTACTAAATATCAATTAAATTCAAAGTTTTAAGAACTAGCGAATGCCGTTTCAAAAATGAACAAGTTGTACAACAACCTAAAAGCCTAATGGAGAAGCAGACAAGGAGATGAAGAAATTTTTCCGGAAGCTTTGCATTTTTTTTTGAGAGAAAACGAGAAAGCCATTCAAGTCGCACGATTGTTGGTTCAAAGTCCAAGGTGGAAAAAAAATAAAATAAAAGCAAGAGTTTATACTAGGAGGAGGACAATCAAAAAGAACAAAAACGGACTCTAGTGTTTACACAATTTTCTCCGATGCTCGTGTAGGTCAAGATTTAAATGAGGAGGACAAACTCGAGCTAGAAGAAATTTTCCAACCGATGGGTAGGGACAAAACAAAAAGGAAGGGAAAATGGAACTTCTTTGGGTGCATCGGATTTTAGTATGGACATGGATGGAATGCAGAAAATGACGAAGACATTTGATCGATATAATCTCAATTTCACTAAACGTTTGACGTTCGAAAAAGAAAAAGAAGCCGAAAAAAGAAAGCGCGCGCAGAGAGACAATAAATGGATGATATGAGGTTCTTGATTGAAAAAATTGATCATCTTTCGGGACCGGCTTTTGAGCTAGTTTTGAAGAAGAGGGAGAAGATTATGAAAAAGTATTTTCCTTAGATCGTTTGTTTATATATATATATATATATATATATATATATATATATATATATATATATATATATATATATATATATATATATATATATATATATATATATATATATATAGGTGAGGGTTTAATTGAGAAAAAAAAAGGTTGACAATGGGGGAATCATTCTCAGTCAATCATTTACTTTTGCCGCAAAAGCCTCCAACATACCGGCGGAAATGGGAAACGAATGCACATGTGTTTTCCAACATAACAAATTTCCTTATACTATGTTAATCATTACCTTAATATATACAAAAACATAGTTTTTTTCCGTTTTTTTTTATTTTTTTATTTTTATAAGCTATTTTTATTACAAAAATAATTTTAAATATACCAAAATTCATGATTTTGTATTCTCTACAAATAGACATCCATATTGATATAGTTTTAAGATAAAATAAAAAAATTATTTTTTTTTATATTTTCAGCTATCGTTATTCATAAGTGAATAACAATGCATTAGATTTTATTACAGTACATTCGTTATTCACTTATGAATAAAAATTATGATTTTTTTTTTTTTTTACAATTTAAGTATCATTCATATATAAATATAGCATATAATAAACATAGTATATTCATATTTTAATATTGGACGATGAATTCACTTGTGAATATTAACATAGTATATTCACTTGTGAATATTAGATGGTATATTCACTTATGAGTATTAAATGATATTTCATATGTGAATATTACATAGTATTACATGATATATCACATGTGAATATTACAGAGTATATTCATTTGTAAATATTAGATTATATATTCACTTATGAATATTACACAGTATATTCACATATGAATATTACAATGTATATTCACTTATGAATATTTGAAGGTATTTTGACAAATATATATAATTTTTATATGTTATTCACATATGAATAACATACAGACTTGCATATTTGTTTTGTGTATTTAATAATCATATACTGATTTAGATGAGAAAACATATTCATATGTGAATATAACGTGGTAATTTAGTTTATGCATTTCATCAAACAGTTGGAGTGCAAACAAGTTAACTATTTTAAAAATGTTAAAAACATTAAGTTATCAATTCCAAATCATCATATATTTCCGATTTCGACTTCAGATGCGACATCCTATCTCTGATCGATTTCACAATTTGATTTTGATTTCTGAAAATCCGATTGGGAACCTGTGGGTACCAATTCTAAGTACCTCAATGTCGACTGTAACTGCGATTCCAATTAATGAACAGCGAAGAAATTCCGGTTTAATTAAAGAAATTTAAATGACTATTGAAGGTTGGAGGAAAAATTTTGATGATTAACGAACAGTTATCGAATTCTCTATAGTTACGTATTTGAGATTGAAGGTTATTACGATATTTACAAGTTTGCCACCGTATATTTTATGCTTAGATTAAATGAGTGGCTGAGAATGATTTCCCAATTCTCAACATTTTTTATTTTCTCAATTGAACCCACATATATATATATATATATATATATATATATATATATATATATATATATATATATATATATATATATATATATATATATATATATATATATATAATTTTGGTTGTTTTTCTAGTATTTTAATCTTAGTTTTTTTTAATGTAATTTTTATTTTAATTAATGAAGTGGTGTTTTAATTTTAATTAATTTTTATGTTTATTACTCATTAAAAAAAATTATAAATCTTAAAAATCAATTAATTTTATTAAAAAAAATAAAGTGACAGATTGTTCCCTTCCGCACCTTGGGTTTTGGTGAGGGAAATGCTGACATGACAAACAAAAAGTAAAAGATTGTTCATGTATATACCTTCGGGTCTAAGAGCATTTACAATGATAAGTTCAATGGATAAAACTCAACAATTGTGAGATGATATTTTGACATTAAATGGATTTAGAGTTTCATGACCATTAAACTATTCAATATAAAAAATAAAAGTTTTTAATTCTTAAATATTTACTATAAATTGCATTTTATAACATCCTAATAAGGTTAGAATGAATGGTGTATTTTTGTCACTTCATGTAATAATGTCGCACCTCTTCAAAAGCTTGCAAATATGTTAAAATAAAGAATCATAGACCTATTTGATTCAATACATGATGAAGTTATCATTATATAAATATATATAATAATTGTTTTCAAAAAAGCAAAAATCATCAACTTTTATCAACCTTTTAAATCTACTGGCTTCAAATCTATTGGCTCAAAATCAGATCGAAAGGGTAAGATCCGAATAGGAGAATAACCTCCATAAGACTTTCGGGCTTTACTGATACAACCACCTTCTTTAAAACTGTAAAATACAAGTGTCTTGAACTCATTCATAACCCACGTGTCTGCATCATATATCGCTACTAGTGATAACTTTGCAATATCTTTTTTCATGTCCAAAACGTCAAGTTTCTCCCATGATTGATCAACTGTAAGAACCCAAATCTCCCAAGAACGAAAACTTGGTGTCATACAAGCGAACCCCAACTTGCCTTGATACTTTACGAGTTTCCTCAGTCGAGGATTTTCTGAAAAAGGATAGTAGAGGGTTTGAATAGGTGTTGAAAAGGTTGTCCATTCTTCAAAATATGCATCAAATTTCAAAACTTCTTTGTTCGACAATAACATGTAGATTGAGCCCCTTGTGGTGATCCATTGATAGTTAGATTTGATGTAGACAGTATAAGGCAATATTACATGATCTTTTACTCTCCATGTCCATTCCCTTGAGTCGAAAATTTCACAATGATATGATGTGCATCGCCCATTTCTTGAACAAAATGCAAACGAGAATCACAATTAGAATAATTAGTTATAACTCAGGAAAAAGAAGTACCAACAATTCCACAAATAAAACTATAAAATCTATGCAACTAACGCCGAACATACCCATAATCAGTATCGCTTGTATAATCAGATAATCTAACGATTTTGTAATGTAATGGCTTCGAATCCACCACAACCATGTAAACATTATCGGTTGTATAACTGGTTTTTGGATATGGCAATGGTAAAACCTGCTTAGATGAAGGTTTACAAACATGGTAAACAATGGAGTCTTGAAGCTGTAGATGAGGACTCTCGAAGACCATGATTCCTTGCTCTGAAGATGCTAGAATTTTAGCATCGTGTGGTAGAAAACCAAGATCAAGATTGTTTGATTCGGGTCCGGGTGCAAACTCGTACCCATTTCCACCCTTTTGTATTAGAAAACCGGATACGATTTTGTTTCGTTTCTTGTAGAAGTTGAGAAAACCTGGGTCGTATGTGAGTTTTTCGAATTGTTTGTTGATACAACGCGTTATATCAAGAGTCTTTAGGGATGTTCTTGAAAGAATTTCCATGTTCACGTCGCAAGAAAATTTGG